GATTAGGGATGAAAATGCTATTAGCATTTGTATTGGTCGATAACATTGATTTATCAGAATTGAAAACATAATAAAATAAAAACATGATTTTCCTAATTTTATTGCAAAAGACGTACAGAACATCACTTTTCTTAAAATCAATCACTTTAAGTATAATACAGAACATAACTTTTCTTATAATCAATCACATTAAGTGTAATAATCAATCATATTTTTTGAAGATTTTTTCTTATAATCAATCACATTACGCGTTATACAGAACATAACTTTTCTTATAATCAATCACATTAAGTTAATCTAATCATGGTTCTAAAGCATTTGGTACCTAACTGTGGAATTAAGAATTGATTTGTTTAATCTACAATAAATTGTATAGTATATACATTAACTTTAACTTAGTTAACGTTAACTAAAAATTTAACTAACTTATACTTAATATGAGTGCATGCTTAACGTTACTTATACTAGAAGAACATATCAATACAGCATGGCATCCTTCAAGATTCTTGGCATTGGTCATGGATTTCTATGGAAATATAGAGGTATTTCAAGAAACAAAGATTCAGTAAAAATCTGAAAATAATGAGAGTGAAGTCATATGGTCACAATGTTGAAGAGAAGATGGTCACCACTATGCTGATGAGGTATATTGTAATTATCTTACGTCGGTAAGGTGATGAGAAGTAGATGTTGTTGTACCCATTCTTGCATAGTTGATTGATCACATCGTCATATATCTTTTTTTATTAGCTGCTACAGTCTCATCAGCGCACTTCCCATCTTCATAGCTTGTTTCGCCCCATTAAAGTGCGTACAAACTCAGATGGGTGGGGAAGCAGGGTGATCAAATCCCACTCACTGATACAGCCAGCTCTCTCTACAACGCAGCCATAGCCATCTGGATGACCGCTCCGCCACTTGGCATGTCTCTAAGAGGGCCTTCTTTCTTTTCCTAGGAAGAATGCCAACAAATTTAAACATCCAGCTCAGAGATTTTGCTGCTAGTCCTCTGGCTCCTACTTCAACTGGGAAGCAATGGGTGGACCAGCCGTTCTGTGAAGCTTCCTGGACTATATCCTGGTATTTAAACCTTTTCAGTTCATTAGATACTTCAATCCTGTCCTCCCACAGGACTGTCAACTCTATAAAGATGATTGTCTTTGTGGATTCAGACTTGATGACAATGTCTGGTCGGAGAGTTGTCTGGGCAACGTGTTGGGGAAATATAAGCCGCTTCCCTACATCCACTAACATAATCCAGTCTGTTGCCTTGTAGAGAATCCCAGGTGTTGATGGTGAATTACTCTTTGAGAAGGCTGAAGTCCTGGTTGGTGTCTCTCCTTCCTGAAGGCTATCATCTTAGATGGTTTAGGGCAGGTAGGATGGTCATTAAAGATTGGGCCTATGTGTCTGGATATTTCCTTAAGTACTTGGTCATGTCGCCATGTATACCTGCCTTCAGTGAGGGCTATCTTGCATGAACTGAGGATGTGGTTCAAAGTTGCTGGTTGACCACATAGCTTGCATGCTGGGTCTTCTTTTAATCTCCAGGTTGGAGGGAGTGGGTAGTGTGTCACTTAGTGCAGAAAGGAGGAATGACAGAGAGCTTTCTAGAGATTGCAACATCTGGTGCCATGACATCTGTCTATTCTCGATGGAGCCCCAGTTCATCCACGCGCCTTGACTACCGAGACTGGTAGCCTTGATGTATCTTCTTTCTTCCTCTGACTTTCTGACCTCATCCTGGACCATCTTTCTTCTTGTCTCGCTATCAGCTTTTGACCAAGGTACTCTGCCATACATTGTAGCTTCCCAGACCCTTCCTGCCTTCAGCAACAGTACCCACAATATCGCTGTGACGCAACCTTGTTTCAGCATCTGACAGTGCATTCTGCGGGCTCCACTTTCTTCCTGGGCGAGAAGGAATGTTAGTCTTCCTTGCGATAGGGTCCTTAGAGTGCTTTAGTAGCATTGAGGTGCGTACTTTGGTGACTTTGTACTCCTCCACCAGTGAGGACACTGGTAATGCTACTGGAGAGGATGTGTAGTAGAGGTTGATGTTGCTAAACGATCTTGATACACCCATCCATACTCTGAGGTACTTGCTAATGGTTCTTTCCATCTTCTCAATAATGGTCAGTGGAAAGTCACACATAGCGAAGGGCCAGTTCAGTCTTGGTATGATTCCATGTTGGAAGCACCAGACTTTCTACTTGCCAGGTAGTAAAGTCTTGTTGATGGTTGAAAGCCAGCTATCAAGTTGCTTGACTGTGTTGTCCACACTGTTCCTGTCAGACAGGTTGTCATCAAACCACTTGCCTAAACATTTGATAGGGTTCTCCTTTGTGGTTGGAATCCTCTCCCCTTGCATCGTGATGGATCGAGCTTCAACTTTGCCCTTCAAGATGGTTAAACTTCTTGATTTCTTTGGTTTAAAATTCAGACGTCCCCAAGTTGCGAGTTCTTCAGGCGATTGAGGATCCATCTGGTGCCTATTTCTGTGTCAGTTGTAACTGTGATGTCATCCATGAAAGAGCAGCATGGTGGATGTTGATAACCGTCGCTTGTCTTGGGTCCTTTGCACTCTCTAGAGGCTTCTTTCAAAAGGCTTCTTTCTACTAGAAAACAGCAACTGCATGGAATAGCAAATCCCAATGAACAAAGCATGTTTTCATCAATAACTGGTATCTTGAAATTTCTTCTATGCTCTAAATATTTAGATTTTAAGTCAAGACACAAAACTTTAGTGATCAAACTGTAAGGTCAAGGTTATACTTGTATAAAGCTTAAGAAATACTTTCTAGGCTTTGCTGAAAAATACAAATCATTAATTTTGAAGTTTCAAGTTTTACCACTTGAGATGCTGAAGGATGTAGGAATTGTTTAAGACATTTGCGCTGAACTCACAATTTTTCACTTGGCACCTTTTGAGGTGGATCCCTGCTATGGCATCAATGGTTGAGAAATAGGAATCGAAACCACCATAGTTTTCTCCTGATGACCATTGTGAATTATTGTGTTTTATGGATTATGGCGATGGCTTTTATGAATGGATGTTGACCCTTTAAAACGCCTATAGACTTTGAGACTGGATTTTATCTATCCCACATCATTTGAGACTGAATGCTCTATCTTGTATGAGTAATTTGTATCTACAACTATTTTTGACGTTATGAGTATTAGCTATCAATTTCTAATTTTTTCTTCAACATGTATTGTAATGACTTCAGTATGGATGAAATGTCCCTTGGTGTTCTGGTCTTGGATTGTGATGTCGGCTCTTGAATGGTGGGGGAAAGGGGGTATTAGACATTGTTTCTTTTCATGTTAGATTATCATGTTTTGGGATATACGGGGTTTGTTTTTCTTGACTGGTATGCACTTAGAGTTTGCTTTTTCTTGCTAAATTCCATCACAACTTTTGGTCCTTTCCCTTTGGCACTTGTGCTCAGATATTTCTTTGTTTTGAGGTATCAGTATATAAAATTTGAATCAAATCTGTCCACTGGCTTTTTGATATTATGTTATTTACGAAAAATGGCACTTTGAAATCCAGGTGTCATTTTGAAAATCTTTTCTCCAGCAGAGCTTTTTTGTCTCTACACATAAGCATATAAAATTTAATGCCTATCTTGAAAATGTCTTCTTGAGCAAAGCTTCTTTGTACCTAGGCATCAGGATATAAAATTTGAACTGAATCCATCAACTAGTACATGTATTTGAGCTATCAAAGATTATATTTTTTATAAAAAAATGGGAGCTATTTTGAATTGGTCATATTGAAAATTCCCTCTTCAACAGAGGTTGTACATCCATTAGGTGAAAGCTTAAAAAATTTGAATCAAATCCGTCAAGCGGTATTTGTTAACCCCTAGACAGACAGATGGACGGACGAATGGATGGATGGTTTCTGTATGTCCCTCTCGAACTTATATATAATTACATTACATATTGTTTTTCTAGCAAATAATATTTTTTACATTTCTGTATTGTTTAATGTAGATAGAACCTTTCTGCATGAACATTTTTTGGGGATAATCGTTGAGTCAAGCAAAACAAAAATGTGTCATATTCGTAAGATCATTTTGATTTTTGCAAATTATTTTCATTAATTCATATAGTTCATAGTTTTTAACAAATCTTCATTGCAAATTATTTATTTACACTGCTATTGTTATTTTAATTCAATAGTGCTCCGTCAAGCAGTTTTACATGTGTGTCCGTGTGTGTGTGGAGGGGGGGGGAAGCATGTACTTCGGTCTTAAAATTATTAAGACTATGCCAAATAAAGCAAATTCAGTAAATAACATATCTAAATAGGTTTAATAATTACGTTACATATTGTTTTTCTAGCAAATGATATTTTTTCGATATTACTTTCTACATTTCTGTATTGTTTAATGTAGATAGAACCTTTCTGCATACACAATTTTTGGATAATCGTTTAGTTTTGAGCAAAATAAAATGTTTCATATTTGTAAAATCATTTTGATTTATGCAAATTATTTTCATTAATTCATATAGTTATTGTTATTAACAAATCTTCATTGCAAATTATTTATTTACACTGCTGTTGTTATTTTAATTCGCATAATTGGTTATTACATATTTTTTAATTTGTATTTTTGTTGAAATCAGATTGATCAGTTATGGCTGATGAAACAGAGGTATTTTTCAGACATAGATGACAGCATCCTAGCATCAATGCACATCCCAGACAGCACCGACATAACTCCTGAGAAAAAGAAAGCCATAAGTTACATCCCCCCTGCATTTGAAGCAACATGAATCAGTCGTCAAGTAAAATACACAAAAAGTGATAATCAACCAATGTCTCCAGTCACCTATATATCATCTACTACTCTTAACAGATCTCCAAATAATGGTATCCGAGAGTGATGATGCCCCATTGTCAATCATCAGCAAAACAGGTAACTAAAAAATCGAACCTCGGAGTGACAATATGCCGATATCAACAGCTACTGTAAAAGAACCTCATAATGAATCCCATGAATGTCAACGCCTCAATGTCACCATACACTGAAACATGCCATCAAATAAAGGAACACACTACTGATGGTCCCCAACTATTCTCACCCACAGAAAATGATCCCCAAGTGTCTCAACATACAAGAGCAGATTCCCAAACAATATCCAAGCAAGCTATATCAGTTTCCCCCAAAATAAAGCCAAATGTGAGTGATACAAATATTAGTGTGAGAAATAACCCCCAAACAAACACAAGTGAAGGTTTTGATGGCTTTAATTCTTCAGTTAATGAACCTTTGACTAAATGCATCAAATCTGAAAATAAAGATGAAAATACTTTCAATGAATCAGACAACGAGCCACTTGCTAACCTGCTATATCATGATATAGAATCAACTTTAGATGACTCTGATAATGATTCAGACTACCGCCCACCAAGGTATGACTCATCAGATTCATCATCAAATTCATCTGAGCTGATAGATGTGGAGCTTTCAGATGAGGAAATTGAAGCCTACAAACCTCATCATGAACCAAGAACCAATATGAAATGAAGGAAAATAGAACATCAGACAAAGACATACTTGATAAAAAGACGCAAATGTGGCCGTATGCTGAAACAACCTAACAGCCCAGGCGAAACAGACATGGCCCAAGTTCTAAGAAGAAGCAGAGACGACGCTGAAAGGCATGATAAAATTGTTAATGCACATACAAAAAACTGCGAAGCTTGTTGAAAAGTAATGGGCAGATACTTGTACAGATACTAGGAGATGGTGATTGTTTCTACCATGCAGTTGGATTAATGTTTAATCAAACAGCAGATCATATAAAGGAGGAAATATTTCTTCATTTAGAAGCTTTCTCTGAAATCTACATGGAGTTTGTTCCAGAAGGTGAATCTTATTCTAAAGTAGTACAAGACCTTGGATCATCCTGGACTGCACTAGCAGGTGATTTCCTTCCTTTAGCAGTAGCAAATATGTTTCAAGTAAATCTCACTATATTCACCACAAAACAAGATCAGCCAATTATAAACTTCTCCCCAAATATGGCAATCCAAACCTCATCTCCAATAAAGGGTCAATCTCCAGGATACAATCTAACATATCTAGCAGTACCAGGCCATGAACATTATGATTTAAGTGTGCCTTTTCATGAGTCAACTGCATCATTCTCAAAGAAAAGTACCAAACCAAAAGAAAAACAACATGTTTCACCATGGACGTATATCATCTGGATACCTAACAGCCGTTTGACCTACTTTCGGTCTGTGTTTCGGTCACGTGACTAGCCTCTATTTGAATCAAAATCAGAGCCTCGTAATCAAACGTATTCCCCTGGGGAAGACTCAGACGTCATTGCTAAAGATGACGTCATTGTGCGCAATTTATATGCGCATTGAACAACATCCGGGCTTCCTTCTGTTGTTAAAATGGCGTCAAATGATTTTCTCTTTTCAGAAGACTTGGATTGCGTTTTGGACATTTTAGAATTAGATCTTGACGAAGCTGATGAAGTTGACGAAGTTGCGACGATTCGAGGCAAACAGGGAACAAAGAAAAAGACATCAACTCAGGGAGCAAAAAAGAGAAATACACTTATAGGTAGATATCTAGACCCAAAAATTTAGCCTTACAGATTTAGCCTAGACTAGGCGCCCTATCTGTATTTTACAAGTGACCAACAGACCCAGATGGCCTCTTGTACAGGGTGACCAGAAATAAATGTGTCCTAATTTTAAGTAAATTTTACTCCAGTTTTTAGGCACTACCACTGGTTACCCCCATAAATGTGGGGATCTTAATTGGGGTTTGTACTTGGAAGTCAAGATTCTATTACGAGTTTACGTCCACTACGCATTTCCGGAAGTGAATTGGATTTCAACTAATTCAATGAACGCGGAAGTTGACTCGTCAAATTAAATTAACAAATTTGAGGAGACGATACATGTTTCATGGATAAGGGGGTATTCAGTTTACTGAAAAATGAGCAATGTTTTGAATAAAAGTCAGTAATTGAAAAAATATCGACATTTGAGATTGAATAGAGTCGTCGAACTGAAGCCATTTTTACGACAAAAATGGAGGTTTTGGGTCGAACGACATCACAGCGAATGTTCTTACCTGTCTAGATCGAAAGAGCATCCAAATTTTTGTCTAAATTGATAAGATTGTTGCATTCTGTTATGTTGGTGTGAGGGATGAGGTTGACTTGTATAGTGTTGTGTCATCTCTATCTGAGCTTTGTGTCATGAAACCAAACTTTTAGGTAGTTTTTCTTTGAAATAAGGCAATACAAAGAGGGTGGGAATGCTTCAAATATGCCTAATCCGTCCAGGAGAGGAGTAATTATTATTAGAACTATTGGTAGTGCCTAAAAACTGGAGTAAAACGTTGTTGAAAATTAAGGTGGATAACATTTCTTTCTGGTAACCCTGTAGAAGACCCCCACCTGTACTAGACCCCCACTTGTAAAATACCGATAACCTTATTTTTGGGAAAAACAAGAAAATTCTCTCAAAGTTATTATTTTAGGAAAAACAAGAAAACTCCCTCGAAATTATTGAAAATATGTTTTAGGTAATAAAGTGTGGGGCTGCCTTGTACACAGAGATGTGAGCCGATAACCGACAATAAAAGACAATGTCTACAATCTGAATTGAAGTTGAAAGCCAATAACATTGTTGTATATTTTTGTCAGGCAATTATTATTCAATAGTGTCTGCAATTATATGCAATGATTGCAAGGGTTAAACAACAAGTAGATCTACTAGAAGAGGAACAAGAGGAAAATAACAAATGAATGCTGACTTTGGTACAATTTACATGACATGTAACTGTGAGGTGGTGACACCTTTTCTTATGAACTGGTCAGTATGAAGCGAAGGTAATGGCCATCACCTTCAAACTGAAAATGATATTTCTTGGATTTTGGTTTCATGACCGTTTCCATATCAAACATTTCCAGTTGTTATATGTACCTTTCCTTAAGCTTTGGAAGATATGGTTGAACTGTAGTGCCCATGCATGATACTAAACAAATGATTATACTTCAGAGATGTCATGTCATATAAGCCAGGTTTAGTTAAAATATCAAAGCATAACTCAAACTATAAAGTAGTTCAATTTGCTGAAAACTAAAAATATTGAAATCGACACTTTCCATTCGTCATCTTAAATGCGAAGGTGACTGCCATAACATTCGCTTGATACTGACCATTGATATTGAAAATCAGTGGGAAGGGTCTCTAAAGAACATTGTGAGAGTCAGCTTGAACTCAAGTTAATTGAGAGAGTCAGCTTGAACTCAAGTTAATTGAGAGAGTCAGCTAGACTCAAATTTAAGCTCGAAAGAACATTGTGAGAGTCAGCTTGAACTCTTGCATTTGATCCCTTAAAACAATGTATATGATTGTAAGTGTCAGTTCCGATTCGTAACTAGTAATAAATGTGACATTGGAATAATGTTTCACTGACCTATTATTATTTTGTTGATATAAAGAATATCAGCTGAAAAAATGATCTTAAAGGTAGCGTTTATGTGAAAAATGCTTTTAAAATAAAGTTATTCTTTAAAACTGCCTTGTAACAAGTAATGGGGGACACACTTGTTTTGTTTTAAAAAATTGCTTTCTTGGGACTCACCTAATGCAACTGTTGGATTCAAACCTGTACTCATAATGTAATATTCCCTTTTATACCATGGTCAGATCAATATCAGGTATATAATAGAAAGTGAGAAATCACATATTTGGGACAGGGATGATATCAGGATTAGAGGGATGATATCAGGGATGATATTTATATCATAGTCATACGGGGTAAATTAAAAACATTCTACTTTTTTTTTTAATTTTTGGGTTTAAAAATAAGTTTATCACTTAACTTAATAGTTTAAATTCTAGCCTTAATGGTACATACAAACTGAGATTAATTAGGGAAATTTTAATGAAATGGTGCTTAATTTTTTGTAAAAATACTTTAAATTATAACACAAAACATCTGTTGCATGAGAATAATTTCTAGATAAGACACATTTAATTTATTTCATTTATGTTAATTCACATAAAATTTCATTTACCAGTTTACAAAATCAAACTTGAAAATATATTACATACAGGGTGATCCAGAAGTCAAAAGTGTTGCCATTTCTACATTATTTGACTAATCATCTTGAAACTTGGTACAGATGTTCTTCAAACATTATTGAGTCAACATATCAAATATAAAGGTTCTACTGTTTGATTGGTTCATTTCACGGTTACTATAGTAACCCGATGTGACGTCACACATTTAATTTTGTGAAAGAAATAGAACTCTTCTTGACTTTGGATATACTGATATCAATAATATTTCAAAATATTTTCATTTGTTTCATGTTGCAATTCAAACATCAATGTAGTATCACATATGATGTCAAACACACTATTTTAGTTGATTATCTATTTTCTGAGAAAGTAGTCAACCAAGCATCAAAATAGAAAATATACGACTGGGATGGATGAACAATTTTCACTGGATAACGCTCCAGCACACAAGATCATCTTGATAACCAGTATTAGTGGATGAGTAAGGACTGCCACAACTTGAGCATTCTCTATATTCCCCCAATTTTGCCCAAAGTGACCTTTACTCACATAATGAACTTAAATGGAAGCCAAGTGAAATCAGCTTTCAAACTTCAGATGAATTAACGTTTAAAGGTCTGAATTGTTTTATTCCAAATTTTTCACTTTCAGTGCATCAATTTTGTGGATTACATGTTCTAAAATGGTAAAAGTGCATTGTTTTGATAACAAAGTAGAGATTGAAATCTTTAAAATGATATCTTTTTCTTGAAAAAACACAACTGGGAAGATATTTTTCTACTTTTGGGAAAACAGCTATGGTCTTAAATTCTCCGGTTGATATATCAGCCAGCAGTCCTGTAAGAAAAAATAGTATGGGCTCATTCCAAAAAATAAGTTATCAAATGGATTTCGAGATCAGTTTACATAGTGTGTACTACCAAGGACTTTAATTCTCCAGGTCCATCGTACTATGATGAAAATACATTGCTAATTGTGGCATTTATGCAGGGTAATATGTATGCAATCACTGACCAATTAAATGTCCATGATTTCAATAAATTAAAGTGTTAAAAACTAACATTAATATTGCCTTTATAAATTTTCAATTCTATTTTCTGCTCAAACAAATACTTTGCCCCGGTTGACGTCACATCAGGTTACTATAGTTACCATAAAATCAACCAATCAAACAAAAGAATCTTTATATTTAAGATATACACTCAGTAATGTTTGGGAAAGATCTGTACCAAGTTTCACGAAGATTGCTCCAGTAGTATTGAAATAGCAACATCTTTGACGTTACTTCTGGATCACCCTGTAAAATGTGAACTATACAGCTGGCCACATGAAAAATGACATAAGTTGCTCAATAGCCTGTTAATCTCATTAAATGTATATCCTGGTCAATCATATAAGTATGACCAGTGATTGTTGAACATGGAATACAAGAATAGTTAATAATTTTATGAATATCTCAGGTTTTGATCTAACTGAGGCCACTTGACAAAAGCCACTAACATTGTTGTATATTTTTGATAGGCAGTTTTAATGAATACTGTCTACAATAATATAGGATGATTGCAAGGGTTACACAACAAGGTCACTTGATGACATTGGTTTTAAAAGAGGCATTTGTGTTCCTGTATTTTGTTTCCATTATAAATTATAGTGGCAACCTAGATCTCTCATACAAAAAATAACCTTCAGTATGTATCCATTTCAGTAAATCCTCTTCCAAGCTTAAAAGATCTTCAAAGTAAGGCAGGGGGATGTTTTGAAAGAGCTATAGTGAAAATATCATCTGACCCCATGGCTAAAGCCTATCCTAGTGGATCAAGAGCTGATGTAGCTGTTACCATTGCAACTAAGCTTAAAGAATTACCATTTGGTGAATTTCCAAGCGTACTTATGAGCTTCCTTTACCCAACGCTCGATTCTTCAAAATCAGCTCAACTTAAGGCAAATAAGTCTTTTAACATGCTGCAGAGCTTACATCAGTGTAAAATTTCTAAAGAAGTTACCAAACTCTTTAGTGATTTTTATTCCAACATAGGAATTGAGTATAAGGATTCATTTTTAAGCATCAAAATTATTGATGAAATGTTCAAAGAAATATGTTTCCAAGTCAATTCTTCTATCAATCTGCCATCAACACTTCCCAGTCCCACAGACCTATCACTATCACAAGATGAAGAGAGCACACTATCCTACATTTCTGGCTTCATCCCACACTCATTAATCAAACAGTTATCAAAATCTAAAGGACGCAATTCTGAAATACTAGTAAAATGCCTGAATTCGTGGAAGGTTAAGGATGAGGATGATCTAAACCCTTCAGCTGAACATTTTGAAACTTATAGAAATAGTTGGACTGCACAGATTAACCGAGGAGGACTCTTTATTGTCAACTCCTCTGTATACTCCTTCTTCAGACAAATAGAACTTATAGTAAGAAAATCACTGAATGTCTCCAACGTTGTCCGTTTGAATAGTTCAAACATAGACCAACATATCTTAGAGGAACTTTCAGTTGATGAAAATGTACAACAGGCATGGGGTGAAATAACAGAACATATTTTTGATGACAGTTTGAATACGTTGTTGATGAAGAAGGTCTTGTCTAAGTTTGTTACTCTTAGAGCAAAGTCATTTGTAAAATTTTGGAAGAACAAGTTAGAAGACATTGACCGACAGGGCACACATAGTTTGAGAGCTGTACTCAGTGCAAGTAGAAAGTCAAAGAAAATGTAAATTTCAAGTGAGAATCAAATAAAGCAAGCGAGTTTCTGATGTGCCTATGTGGTCCAAAAATTATCATGACATATATCAGTATATTGAACCATGTTCAATGGGTAGAGTAGACCCACTTGTGACTTGTAACTCACTTCTTGACTGCTTGTAAATAGTTCCATAATAATTTTAATTAGAAAGGACCAGGTATAGTATGGCAAGTGATTTTGGCCAATCATAGCTTTCACCATGAGTACTTTCTGGCCATAAATACAATGTTTTTCATTAAAAATGTGTTTTTAAGTCCAGTGAATGATCAATCCAATTTTCTGAACTTCTTGAGTGTTTCTATCAAATCCTTTTTTCAATTTTGGGTATTGCTTAAGAGCAATCAATGCTACAATGACATTTTCAATGGATGTTTTTGGAAGATTTTGAAAACTTTTAAAAAGGGAATGGTTATTGAGAAATACTTTAGAGTTAAATCACATATCCCAATGTTACTTTCTCATAGGGAAAACTCATGCTCTCCGTTGATTTTAGCATAATTTTGATATGTCATATATTGGACCATTTTCTTAGTTCACATTTCACATTTCACTTGACCTTCTTGCCTGTCTGGTTTTCAGGCATAGGCTTGGTCGGTGTCTGTGAGCTGAGAAACTGTTTTGAAAATTGATACCTTATGGTGAAAGATATGACTGTTTAAAATCACTAACCATACTGTACATGGTCCTTTGACTTAAGGAGGAAAGACTTTATGTTGTATTCATTTACAATTTTAAAACAGGAACTCATTCTTTATATCATGTATATATAAGTAAAAATTGAGTTAAATCTGTTTCAAGGCAATCCCATTTGAGATTCACCACGAAATGCCATATGCCTATGCCTGGAAACCAGACGGGCAAGAAGGTCAAGTGAAGTGTGAACTAAGAAAATGGTCCAAACAACAGTTTTGTGGAGAATAGACCAAGCCTATGCCTGGAAACCAGACGGGCAAGAAGGTCAAATGTGGTTTAACGTCTCTTTTTCGGTAGTGGCCTATCATCATTGTCCCAGTTGTGATCAACAACCCGTCTACAGTTTCCCCTCATATTAGGAGCTGCATTAACGTCAGCAACTTGGAAGACCAGGGCATTGTTGCCAAACTGCTTAACTGTAGGGGCAGTATTGGCTCCCCCTGCCCTACGATGTCGGGAAAAATGTTGTTCCAGTCGATCCTGGCATAGTACTTTCTCACTTAGTACATACTGAACACCCTCCTCTGCCAAAAGAATCGGAACTAGTTCAACAAATGATCTCACTGCAAATTGAAAGGAAAAATATTATTTGATTTAGACTTTCTGAAAGTGGTATAATAAGTGATAATACTATCAGTGGAAAAATAATATACACTTGAATTAACTTTATAAAAATGAGTGAAGATAGGCATAGGCATCACATTGTCTTACCAAACAAACCAACTAACAACTATATAATCTTGGTATGAGAACAATAGATCATTCCCATAAACCCTACCAAGATTTGGATCAAAGAAGCAATACGGTATTGCCATTGGCAATATTAATGAATCCATCTGTTGGTACTTTTCAAACCTAGAAAAGTTAAGCAAAATCTGCATATACTCAGAAATTGCCATTAACCCGGCAGCTCCACCATTAATACAATTTTTGCAATAAGATTATGTTTTTTCAAAAAATGAGGTCATATTGAATTCCTATTGATACCTAAAAGGCATGACATCATCATTGTAGGCATTTTATCGTTACTTATTGTTTGATGTACAAGAAAAGATGGCAGGGTTTATTGGAAATACTAGAATATTAATATTTTGATTGGTTGAATTAAACATTACCTGTTATTTTCCAACCTTCTATGGTCTCCCAAGACAAGGTTAGCCTGCTCCTTTCATCTTTGGTAAGACCCTGGATGTCATTGACTTCCCCCTGCCAGACATCTAGCCAACCCAAAAAGTCGTCTGTCAACCACTAAAGTAATATAAATGATATAATTGTTCACAAGCAAGAAGCAAAAATTAATGGGCAAAACACCAAATTACTTTAAGAAAACATTCTCAGGGAAAATGGTGGTTGAAGTGGATCTAACAGGGAACAAGCCGAAGGATATATACAAAATAAATTTTTGCACGCAATCTATGGGCAAGGTAGCTTTATGTACTTTTCTGTAGTATTTATAATCTCAATAGAAGCCCATTCTATATCCAATTCTTTAATCTCAGCTTACCTGTAACCGCCAGTCTGGCTGGCCATCCTTTCTGTATACTGCACAGAAAGGCTTCCTCTTCCACTGAGCCTCATTCACATGTCTGACATTCAGTGCATCGAAAGCAGAATCAATTTTCCGAATGAATTCGATTGTGGATGTAAATTCCTGATGGCCGGTCCATTCCATGTAGTGTGCGACACTACTACTCAAAACCTGAATTAAAAAAGTAATTTCCAATTTTACTAAAAATAGAGCATGCCAACTGAGCTGTGTTAAAATTAAACCTACATATTTAATCAACCTTGCATCATTATCAATTGATTCAAATGACAGAAGTTCTGTCTGAGCTGAGTGTAATCTGAGATTGAGTGTAATCTGACTATAATTTTATAGTTTTATCCTATATAATAATTATAAAAAAATAGTGTGTTTTATATTATATGTACCTGAGCTGCAAGGTTGACTCGCATACGTGTGTGGGGCCTGAGTGAAACATGGTCTCTGGTCAATTTATGCAGGTGCATGAGACCTGGGACATTGGCATTGGCATTTAGGTCCATTTCATAGCATGTCCTCACATGGCCCCATCGTATTTCATGACCATGTAGCTGAAAATGATTCACACATGACTTGATACAGAATAATACAAGATTTCATTCATTGACATTATAAACCCATCAATATACTAGATAAATTATATTGTCATTGTTGACACCATAATCATAATTCAAAGATAAATAAAACACAGTCCTATTGTTTTACTCCCTTGTTCTACTAAAAATGCACAAATAACTAGGCAACCCTAGGCTAGGTGTGTCTGATTCCAGCCACTCCAAACACAGAATTTCACAATACAGCAGTGCATGAAATAATCAATAACACACTCAAGGTCACTAGTTAAACAATTGTCATGAAGATGAATTGACTTTTCAGATTGCAATTGATGACTTGCCAAATTGACCCTTGCAGAAAATGTCATTGAAACTGTGTTATTTTACTGATTTCGTACCTTTTAGACGATTTTGTAGAAAATATTTTGCAATGTGTGAAAAGAATTTAAGCCCAACACTCAATGCATTATGTAATGACAATTCCTTCAGGCTTTGTTTCCTACAATTAACACTTGATAGAGAGCATCTCGTGCAAATTTTGGAAAACAATACCTCCAAGAAGTGGTCATTTCACATTGCACTGAGTCCAGAGCTTAATGACAAATGACATACAGTAGAACCCATGTACAGTGAACAATTCTGTGAAGTCATAATTGTAAGTAGGTGTTCACTACAGAGGGCATTTTATTTAAAAATCTGGATGGAGGTGAATTCTAAAGAATTTTCTATTGGGGGAAGCTCCATCACACACAGCTGCTCTTACTTTTAGGTCGATGCCTTCTAGCAAGGAAACAGCTCCCCACACAACAGGAAACAGTTGGGCTGCTGTGAATCCTATTGTAGGGTAGTAGCAGAGGGGGAAATGTTTATTAATAAACAAAAACTGAACCATAAGCACAAGAATGTGTGTTGCCAGCTCAGGGACATCTGGAGTGTCAGCATCCAGGGAGTTGTTGAATTGCTCAATCTCACTATTGAGGTCGCCATGTTGGACAAAGCCCACAATTCTTCCCTGGGATTTTGAGTATACTAAATCATTTTTGATTTTTATCTCATCAAAAAGAAGTGTTACATTTCTCTGGTAAGGTTTCAACTGGTCCAGTTGAATAAGGTCAATAAATCTGGATAATGATCCTATGTTCAATCCAGATTCCCCAGATGTGTAGTGGGTATAGTCGTATATGGTCTGGTGGGAGGGCAAGTTAAGAAATGAGGAACCTTTAATAAAGTCATATGCAGCCGTAGAAATGTTCTTTAGCTGCATGCACCACTTTATTACTATAGGGTGCCACCTCATTCTTCTGTTGTCCAGGAGATTACAGTACTTCTGCTGTTCTGACAGCATCAAAGCTAGAGGAGTTATAAGTAACTCTCAGGTTGTCACGTAGATGAACGCACTGACTACATTTCAACAATCCTTCTGGAACGAGCATATGGCAGACACTTGACCTGACAGTTCTTGTTATTACACTGGATCCAACTTTAAGTGGATAACCATCCTCAATACAGGCTTTTGAAGATCTCCCATCTCGCTCATCAAGCATCGTTAAGAACTTTTCGTCATACTGCCCAAGACATATGGAAGAGTGAGATATAAGTGAGATTAGAGCTGTAGCATCTGCTTTACAGGTCATTCTCACTGGCACATTAGCTAATGTGCTACATGATGAATTACAGTGTTTATTGTGGATGTAAAGCGTCCATGTAAAAAGTTTATCAAAAATAAGGGAGATTGTAACTACTGCCTTGCTGTCATGAATAGAGAGTTTTATGAGAGTAAGGGAAGTGTCAGAGCAGTCACCAGTGATAAAGCCGTGTTTTTCTCCTATGGCTCTGATTTCAAAATAAGTCAGTGGTGGGGAATCTCCAACTGCATCATTGCTCACATACTGAAGTAAAATACAGATGTATTTATATATTATTATTACAACAATGAATATACAAAATGATTTGGATCTGAAACTTTCTTGTATTCTTGTCAAGAAATGTGCTGTATAAAACTCTTTGAGTGGAATTACTTCCCTCCAAATATATCTACTTGTGTGTCAATGTTCACTTACATTATATTTCAGAAAGATTTGATCTAACCAAAAATATTATTTACTTGTTGTATTTACATTTATACATGGACTCACTAATGAAACAGCAGACCTTGCTGGTTATGAACCAGCAACTTCCCCA